GGGCGCCTGGGTGGCTCAGTCTGTTGAGCATCCAACTCTTGGTATCAGCTCAGGTCTTGACCTCAGGATAGTGGGTCTGAGCCCCACATTGGGCTTCATGCCCAGTGTAAAGCCTACTTTAAAAAATTTTTTTTTTGAAAAAGTGATTAGTGATCCAGGATTGGTACAGAATGAAGTACAAAAGGTTTCCAACCACTGGTCTAGATGATCTCTCTAAAACACACGTATGCTCTACTGTTTGTCATAAATCAAATGCATGCCTATTTTAAATTAAACATGGTATGCCTCTATAAATAGAATTCTTTAGAAACACATCCACTGTAAATGAAATGTAAGCCCATGGCCAGCCTACACTTTGACAAGGTCCTTAAAAACCATTTTTATCTATTCCTTAAAGATAGTTCCCAAAATTATTATTAATTACATTAATTAACCTGTGGCCACAGATTATCAGGGCTATCAGTAAGTATGACATAAAAATAGAGTTCTGTGGTCAAATATGTTTTGGAAGTCAGGAAACACTGGATGTCTCTACTGCAGACCTTCTCAGAGCCTTTCTATGCTACTCTATCCTGTGAATTTCTATGAAGGAGGTACAGTGCGCAGTCAACTTGAGGACAGACCAACAGAAATTACCCAGAAAAGACGGGGAGGGGGAAAGATTGGAGAAAATGTAAGACAGTATCAAAAGATCTAGCATTTATGTAATTAGAGTCTCAGAAGGAGACAGAAAGAAAATGGTGCAGAAAAAATAATGGACAAAGACTTTTGAAATTTGGTGAATGAAAGACATAAATTTATAGATTAAAAAAGCTCCATGAAAGACTTCCTAGATATGACATCAAAAGCATAATCCATAAAAGAAAAAAATGCTACATGACACTTCATCAAAATAAAAATCTTCTGCTCTGTGAAAGATATCGAGAAAATGAAAACACAAGACTGGAAGAAAATACTTGCAAAACATACCTAAAAAAAAGGACTTGTATCCAGAATATGTAAAGAACTCTCTAAGTTCAATAATACGAAAACAAAGAACCCATTTTAAAAATGGACAAAAGATCTGAATAGATACTTCACCAACAAATATACAGATGGGAAATAAGCACAAGAAAAGATGCATGTTATCATCAACCACTGGGGAAATGTAAATTTAAACCAAAAGGAGGTGTGTCTACATACCTATTAGAATGGCAAATATCAAAGGAAAAAAAATTGAGAATACCAAGGGCTGCCAAAGTTGCATAAAAAGGGGAACGCTCATTCATTATTGATAGGAACATAAAATTTGAAACCCAGCTTGGCCATTTCTTAGCAGGAAATGCATACACTTACCATGAGTCAGTAATGCCACTCCTACGTTTTTATTCAAGTGAACTGAAAACCTATATTCTCACCAAAACTTGCATACATATTTATAGTGGTTTTATTCATAATTCTGAAAACTGGAAACATGGATGTCCTTCAACAGGCAGATGGACAAACACACTGAGGTATACCCATAAAGTGGATTACCACTTGGCGACAAAAAGGAATCAACTATTGCTAAATGACGACTCTCAAATGCACCATGCTAAGTATAAGAAGCCAGACTCAAAAAGTGAGTCCATTTTTATAGGATAGTCTCTAAAACGCAAAATTATACGGGCAGGAAAAAAAATATTTTAAAAAAAGGCCAGCGCCAAGGGGGAAGAATTAAACACAAAGGGGCTGAATAAGGGAACTTTGGGGGATAATGGAACTGTTTTATATCTTGATTTTTGTTACGGTCACACAATTTTTTGTGCTTGTCAAAACTCATAAAACTTTACACCAAAAAGAGCGAATTTTCCGTATGCAAATTATAACTTTAAAAAAAAGTTAAAAAAAAAAAAACATGATGTTTTCTTAAATATGAGAAAATAAGCTACAAACAGTATAAAACAAAATCTGTCAGATCAGCTGCCAGACATTAAACACAGAGAAATGATCCAGTTTATCTACTATCTATTGAAAAGTGAATTAAAACATACAAATATAAATTGCTCTATCATTCTTTTGTGTTATCATCTGAACATTTGTCAGCACCCATAAAGGGTAATGACTTTGATTTACAGGCAAATTAGCAACACTTCCACCAGCTAGCAAAGTCAGCAAGAGACCTGTGATACTGAGATATTTTCAATGTGCACCTAAACACAGAATACAGAATGTGAACGTGCTTAGAGAAGGATAAGAAGTGAGACAATCCAGGGGTCTGGTGTTAGTATAGGGAAATACTCTGGCTCTAGTTTTTTTAGAACCACACTGACGGCTGCCAAGATGGAGTGGAACAGATAAAAAACAATCTGGAGTAAACGGAGGGATTCGGTGATACAGTGTCTAACACATAACCACAGTTCTAAAAATAATACATACAAAATACAGTCATTCACCTTAATAGAATTATCTCGTAGGCCACTGATAATTTTTTCATCATCATACTGTAAACAGTAGACACCTTTACTATTTTCAGAGCGGCACTGAATCCTCTGCAAGTTGTGTCGTCCACACCGCCAGTTAGATTCTATAGTCTAGGGGGAGAAGGAGGAAACAGATGAGTTTTTGTGAATCAACTATTCTATTAGGCTTCAGGCTTTAGTGTTGCTTCCAGGAACAGCATACCAGATACCCCATCTTGGTCTGCATAACTGTCTGTGGATAGGAATCATGCTCTTTTCCAAGTAAGACATTAGCCCAACAGTGTTTTTTCTCAAATGCTCCCTGACTGTCTGGCAACCGTCATAGGATTTCCAATGAGTTTGAGTTGGGTTTGAAAAAAAATAGCCTAGACAGAACTCAATATGTTTAAAGAATGCCTTTTGCACCCAAAACATACAAATAAACAGTAACTCACTGGCTCATTCTCTAATGCCAATTAAAACATTTTAACCACCAACATTAAGCATATACTGACAGTCTATGTATCCATCCAAAGCACTGTCTTCTTCATTGAGAAAAGATACTGAACAACCATCACATGCCAACTACTACAGAAAGAAATTTATTTGGCATCTACTTTTAATCTTCTACCAGACTGAAAGGTCCTTAAAATAAGAATGGCACATTTCTGCCCTGGATTCTCATTCTTTCATCATTCATGTAACATTTACCGAGATGCTACATTATTCCACAATACTGACTGTGCTAGGTGCTGGGGATGAAAAGGACAGGAAGCATACTGCTTTCAAGGGAGCTACCACTCGAGGCACACAGGTATCTGGAACTGGATATACTCTAAACATGTTTATTTGGCTAAACGATCCACACATTAACCTTGGAAGGATGTTCTTATTGTTTCCCTTTTGCAAACATGGAAAGAGTGTAATTTCCTGAGGCCACAAAACTAGTAGCTGGACTAGCTGGAAAGTATACCCAGTTCTTCCTGACACGGAGTCCATGTTTTCCACTAAAATATGCAATGTCCATAAAGAAGTATAGTCCTAGCTACTGAGGCAGTGAACATAGAGCATAGGATCAGTAACAATTCCAGATAATATATGAGTGCCAAATGAGTGATTAAAACTCTAAGTGCTGTAGGACACTTACATGAGATAAACAGTACTATGTACCATGTACTATGGCTTCACACCAGGGGGCAAAGTTTAATGAGAAAGTGGGTCATGCCCAGAGCACTCGAAGACCTAACCCTTGGTAGTGGATATGAGGCATTTTCAGGATCAAAGGACACTATTTCTACTAAGAAAAACCAAAGTGTAAACTCCAAATCCTGGAAATGAGGGGGCAAACCGGACTAAAATAATTGGTTACACCCAAGTTCAGGATACTGTTCGAAAGATGATCTCTGAGTAGTTAGTTATCTGAGTAGCTAAAAGTTTAATTAGTTGCTTTGCCGGAGAAAAGTGACAAATCTCAACTTCATTCACGATACGCACTTCATTACTGGCTCTGCTGACCTCTAACAAACTGTATTTCCTCTTACGTTGAAGGCAGTATGCTTCTGTGTGCTCTAAAATGTTAAAATGTTCTGAATATTATGTGCCAGGTACTATGCTTTTGTAACACTATGCTATGTGTTTTAAATATTGTATAGCTAATTTACTCATCACAACTCTGAAGCTGAAATTATTGTCCTCATTTCACAGAAAAAGAAATGAAAGGCCGGAGATGGTGATATAGATATGCCTAAAAAGGAAAATGTTCCATCATTTGTGGTCTTTGTACTTAGCACAGGAGCCTGGAAATCTAATCCCTGCCCTCAAAGAGCTCCTATGTACAGCCCTAAGAGAGGGCAGAATCACATATGTCCAACACCCATGGGATGAAGGTGGGGCCATGGAGACATGAAGAGCGAGAGAACGCTCATCTGCCCATCTGCTACCAAGTCAGAGCTTCTTAGGCAGCATCATCATTTCTAGTAAGTTTGTAAAATGTGAGAAATAAAAGCACATTCCAAAACGAACAAAAGAAAATAATTCACCCCACTTCTGCTACTGCTACCGACATAGATAATAGATCTGCCTGTATAAGCAACTTTTTGAAAAGGGGTCCAGAAAAAAAAAACTTACTTAAACTGAACTCAATGCTTAAAATCATTTAGAGAACTAACATATTTTTAGATAGTGCCTGAGCCACCTCAGCAAGCTAAGTATACCAGGAAAACGCTGACTTAGGAGACAGATGTATTGGTAACAAGTCTTATTCGTGGCCAGTGACTCCTGGCAGTGGTTACTGATGTTCGGGCCACACCCTACAAGGGCCCAGAGTTGCTGCAGAATGCATGACTCCATATAAACCCTAAGTATTACAAAGCTGACTATGTAATATATCTTACACATATATATTGGATTATTTTTAAAATTCATATAGCTGCTTTTAGTTATAAAACAATCGCTTTAAAATATTATTGAATCAGTAAGTAGCTTCGTTACTCTATAGGTTTCAATGCAAAGGAGAAGTATGTTAACTATCACATGGGAGACTGAAAAAAATAATTTAATGTAAAAAGAGGAAGTAGAGGAATCCCCATACCAAAAAGAATTTCCTACATGCTCTCCCCCTCTCCTGGAAAATGTTTTCTAGAACTGGGTGACTTGATTACAGTCTTTTACTGGACCTAAAAACCTAAAGATACAGCAGAGAGGACTGAAGACAAGCTGGGCTGAGGCAGTAGTCAGCCTGGGGTGCACACATTCCCGGAGAGTCTGGACAGAGAACCACTACCCGACATGAAAGGCTGAGCCATACCCTTGATCTCCGGCCCTCAAACAAGAAGCAGAGGCCAGGACCTCTCAAAAGCTCTGCTAGGTAACAGGCTCTTCTTCTAAGTTGAATGGAAGTTAAGAAATAGGAAATGGCTTAGCTTCTCAACATTCAGAAAAGAGACTAATTTTCTAAAACACAATTCTGAATTTTAAAAGAAAAGGATGGCCAGATAATTCTTCATGGGTCATTTTAGGAAGCTCCCACTTAGGGCTGTGTTAAAAAAAATTATTAGGTTCCTGAATCCCCAAACACTTGTAGTTTGTTTCAAAATTCCAAGAAAGGGACACTAAACCAGTTCAGGGAGCTGATCGTTTTGCTGAACACCAATCTCATGTAATTCCTAAAACTTCACTCTTCTCAATTCCCCAGGCCACCCACAAAAGAAAGCAGCACTTCCTGCTGACTGTGCCTGCCCCAAATACTACCTACCACCATATTTGACGACCTCAACTCTTACTAGAATGCTTATAAGCCAGGTATTTATTTACTTATTTATTTAACTTTAAATAAATAAATAAATAGGCCTTTAAAAATGGAAGACAGCCCACTGTGGTATAGAAAATACCTAAGTCAGTTAGCAGCTTTGGCAAATGAGCTGGGACTGTCTGAGCTGCAGTTTCCTCCTCTGTAAAATGGGAAAAATAGTATCTACTTCCTCAAAACTGTTGTAAGGATCAAGTGAGATTACATATGTAAAGTGCTCGTCACAGTGCCTCACATGATAGCAGTGATGCTCTTCCTTGTCTGCGGAGAACACGGACCAAAAGGAGTAGGCCGTGACCAAAAAAAAAATCTTCTCACCAAAATGTCAGGAATGGCTGTCTCGGTCTAGGCTGATACTTAACGCTGCTAGTCCCGAGCCCTCCCTAACCATTCCCAGGAAGAGGCTCAGCCTTCCAACGCAATTCCACTTCAACTCCAGCAGCAGGGATATAGGGCATACACAGGTGTACCTCTTTAATTATGCAGATACCTGCCACTTCACTCAGACATCGTATGATATGGCTACTGTAGAGGAATATTTTGTGTTTTTGAGAACTTGTAAAATCCCCTTACCCTGTGCAAATTTTCAAAATACTGGGAAAGTAGCCATGATACACAGAGTATACAGCGGCATTTAAATTGGCAATAGAGTGAAAACAGATGTCTGAGTATGGAGGAATAACATTATTTTTAGAAGCCTAAACACAACTGGGTGGGTGGGCAAGTTTCAGCATTTTCTGGTCAGGACAATATTAATATCAAGTTTGCAAACCACAAAAAAGCTCCCCACTTTTCCTGAATAAAATGTGGTTTATTAAAAGGTGCGATACAACACACCATCATCTTACCAGTGGTCTATTCCAAGGAGAGTGCTTCAAAGGCTTTAATCCAGTGAATAAAAAGAGGGAAAAGACCTATTACATGAAAGAGTTTGCCACTACTCCGAGATGGCAACAGAAAAAAATCCAAGTTCAAGACAGAATTCTGATTGACTGGAGTCTATTATAACAACTTGCATCTCTCTCCTGAGAGATGCTGGGGGGAAGAGGGGGGGCATGAAAAGAGAATGAGCTTTGGACTAAGAATCTCAGTTTTGATTAATTTGAGGGTTAAATTAAATCATTGTAGCAAAGCACCTAATAGTAAGCTCACCAGTAACAAGAAGAACAACTGAGACTCTAGATAGTAGAGGAAATATGGCTGCTTCCTTTAGGAATGTGCCTCAGTCTTTCCAGGAATTCCTTCTCACCTCAGAGGTACTCTAAACCCTCTCTTCTCTCTGTGTGGCAAGAACACCCATGAGAGATGAACTTTCTCAGAAAGCTAAGAATTCTAATTTATTCTCCCAGACTTCATCTCTCACATCTTTATTTCCTGAATAATGGGGATTGGCCACACTAAGCTAGATTCTCTACTTCTTTTTAAAAATTAGCCAATTTCTGTAAGTCACTGTGGAAGGGCAAGGTCATCTGCTCATCAAAGTCAAATCTGGGAACGGACAGATGACAGAAGCCAGTACATGAAATAGAGCTGTCAAAGCAGAGCAAGAAAAAGAAAGAGAAAAAGGTGTTGTGAATTGGCAACTTTGCAAAGCACATGGTAACCACACAGACTCTGCAGCTGTGTATGGGCAACTGGGCAGGGGGCACAAACATCCACTTAGCATTCAGGGGGTGTAATTTATCTTTTAGCAATGTGCTTAAAACCCTTTTAAAATACTACCTTTCCCGGGCGCCTGGGTGGCTCAGTCTGTTGAGCATCCA